AGTTTTGTGCATGGGATTTTGGTTTTGCCATCCATTTACTCTGTGTTTTTATGTGGTGATTTGAAAAGATGAAGATGTATATGCAGCCACTACCATCTTCCCAGAAATCTTCCATTAGTTTTGATGTCCTCTGTATGTGCCCCTCCTGTTCCTTTTCCTCCTTGTTCAGAGGTAACCATTATCTAAATTTTGTGTTTTTCATTTTTTGCTTTTCCATGTAGTTTTAGCATATGTTTATATCTCTAACAATAAAGCTTTATAAATGAAATCATGTGTTTTTCTGTCACTTGTTTTTTGTTCAACCTGTGTTCCTTTCATTCTTATTTTGTGTTGTTGTAATTTATGAATTTTCATCGCTGTGTAACATAACAATTTCATATGTCATAGTTTATTCATTTCTCTGTTACAGAATTATTTCTAGTTTTTCCTTGTCAAACAATATTTCTAAGAAATTTTGTATATATTTACTGGTATACATTAGCAAGATTTTCTCGTGGCATATGCTTAGGAGTAGATTTATTGAATTATAAGGAAAGTTGTTCTTAAACTGTATTATTTAGTACTAAATGATTTCCAGGAGTGGTTATACTAATTTATGTCCCCATTGCATTATATCTAATCTAAGACCTGGACTTTACCAGGACTATACATACACTCATATATTCTTCTTCTGTCCTATCTCTTATTTCCCACAGTTAACCTTCATCCTAAGTTTTGTATTTATCTTATCTTCTAGAAAAATTACTATCACATATATGATTAAACAAAAGGTTTTCAGTTTTATTTGTTTTGGACCCTATTTAATTAATTTTTGTGGTGCTGGAGATTATACCTAGGACCTTGTGCATAGCACTGAGCAACACCTCCAGCCCTGTTGGCCCTATTTTAAAATGGGAAATTATATCATTTATTGTTTTCTGGGACTTATTTTAACTTGACATTGTGTTACTAAGGTTCTTCTCAGTGTGTTTTTGTATGCAGCTATTCATTCCTTCGCTATTACTGTATAACCCATTGGCTTTTTTTTTGTTTTTTTTTTTTTTTTTGGTACCAGGGATTGAACTCAGGACCTTGAGCTTTTGAGGCAGGCAGCGGCACCACTGAGCTAAATCCCCTGCCCTGTATTCTTTTGATAAGCATTTTTATTGGTTCTGGTTGTGTTGTTAGACACTGTAAGACAACAACATTAACAATCACTTCCGTAGCATGCACTGTCCTAAACACTTTTCTAAGTGCTTTATATCTATTATCTCACTTAAACTTCACATGACTCTGTGGGGTGCTATTTACCCTTAGCAGATAATGGAACCAAGATGTGGATAGGTTAACCTGCTCAAGGTATCAAAGACACAGTACTGAGTAGTTAGAGCTGGGTTTCAGAGCTAGGGTATCTAATCCTTTAGTTTGTGGCTATGCAGTATATTTCTTTCGACTCTGGAAATAGGAACATTGTCCTCACAGTGAAAAAAATGATGCTGGCCTAAAGATACAATGTACTATTTTCTTTCTTGAAGTTTTAATATTTACAATGAATTTATAATACTTGTTTCATTTGAATTTAATTTGAGAGTTAAAATGATGTTTGGAATGTACTTTACCTGCTTGCAAGCAAGGTCATCTTTAGCAGAATAGCCTTATAGTGCTCACACCTAGAGGTTAGCACCATCTACTGGCAAAGAGAAACAATAACTTGGTTATGCCATAATACGTATTTATTGCTTGGAAGACAATGCACACTTTCATAGGAGTTTTTTGAAAAGCTGTTTCTGGGGGAAATGAATATTTTACAATTTTTTGTATATTGGTTTTTATGTCCCATTATGATTTCCTTAAACTTCCAAGTATAACATTATATATTGAATATTTACATAACAGATTATATCCAGGTGAGAAAAAAATAGGAAGGGGTATAGTTTTATAGGTGTCATTCTGTCCTTTTTTTTCAAAGCATATGAATAAAACTGTTTATATGTTAAAGTAATAAGAACAAGAGCAAAGCTGTCATTAGATCAACATGAATTGTATTTAATTTATTCTGTTTTGGCTTAGTTAAGTGATATGTCTTTGATAGAGGAACGGAGTTGATAATAAAGTGAAAATAGTTCTTGGTGACTAACCCTGGTGTGTTAGCACATTCCATCACTGGAACAAAATACCCATCATCGACAGCTTAATTTGGGTCAGGATTTAGGGGATTTAAGCCGTGGTCAGCTGGCTCCAAGGCAGAAACATCATGGTAGAAGGCCATGGCAGAAGAAAGCTGCTCACCTCATGGAAACTAGGAGTCAAAAAGAGAAGGAGTTGGGGTGGGAAATATATGCTCTAAAGCCACATCCCAGTGACACATTTCTTCCAACCAGCCGCCACCTTTTAACAGCACATTTAGCTATGAATTCATCAGTGGATCAATCCTCTGATGTGTATAGCGTGCCCATGATCCAGTTGCCTTCCAAAAACCTTACCTCTGAATACATGAGACTTCTGGGGGATATTCTCTATCTAAACTTATGACACCTGGAAAATTTCTCTCCGCTCAACTCTTCGTATTAATCTAAATTTGACTTTCATCTTAAACTGGTTTAGCTTTCACCTGCTGGTGGCCTAGGATCTTGACTATGTCCTATTTTAGATTGATTTCTCTTGTCATCTTTTCTCTATTAACTTAATCCATGTGACTTAAAAATGTGTACATAATCCATTATTGTCTTCTCATTCTATTTCTTCTCTTCTTTTCTTTTCTTGTTTTTTCCTGGTATGCTTTCTTACCTATTACAAGTTTAATTAAAGGGAAAATTTCAATCTTTTGGGGAGGGATATGGTGATTACTTAATGAGTGTTGGTTGAGTGATTCATTAAAGGAATTTAAAAAATTAATTTATGTTCTGGAACAGGAGTGGTGGTTTACAGAGCCATTGTTCTAATATGTTTACTTGTAAGTCCGTGAGCACAGTAAATAGCTGTTCTTTTGGTCTGTGGCTGGCTATTTGGCATACAAATGAAAATAGATTTTGTTTAATGTTACCTTATTGTGTGTATACTTTAGAACTACTTGATTAAATAAAGACTTACTGACTTAGAAATAGTGATAATTATAAATTTTGCTCCATATGTCCAAATATATAGTTCAATGTAAAATGTCCAAGATTGTTGTTGTATAGTGTAAGTTTTTAACTCATGTTTAAGATGGGCTTAGTGTTGGGAGTAAAAATGGGGTCGTTTATAATGTTTATTTTTGTTGTTCCTTTAAGTATTTTACTTTTGGGCATTAATTACTGCTAAAGTGAAACAAAATCTTCCTTTCTTTAATCTAATGTAGATATCAAAATATATTTATTTTAATAAAATATATGTAAAATTTATTATTTGTGTATATACTTTTTTCCTATTAGCTGTTTTTTGAAATTAGTTTTATATTTAGAGTAGTATGAAGAGACTTATACACTATATGAACATGTAAAATTTTAAAATAATATAATTTTCAAAAATCATTTTATTACTCTAAGATAATTCCTTTTTCTCAAACTTTTATCAACTGATTCTTTGATTTATTTTGTATTTTGGCTCTAGATTGTTTGCTAATAAATTATGTAATTCAGAGCTATGTTTTATCATGCTAAGTTTTTGTTTTTTTTTTTGCTTAAATTGTTTTATTGGTACATTTTAGGTATACAATACGTTTACATTTATCATTGGGTGCTTGTACCTGTACATGATATATCTTAGTTCTTATTTTTTCCCCATTACCTGTGCGCCCTTCACCCCCTCGACCCTATTATGCTAAGTTTTAGATTAGGGGACAATAAGATGAATGATTCTTGTCATCTAAGATCTGTTCTAATTTATATGAGCATTGTAGCCTTTGTTTTATATTATAAAGAGAAGTATATAAAAAGCTATTCTGAGGCATAGAAACCAATTGTTCTAGTTGTACAGAGCCACTATTAATCTGAGCAGAGATGATTAAATAAAACACTACCTCCAAAGTCATGAGTATGGTATATTTCAGTGGGACTTTGGAGAATAGGAAGGAATTAGTAAGTAGAGGTGAAGAAAAAATGGTGATTAAGACTCTGAAGCAGTATTTTGGCAGATATTTCATTTTCTGTGAATACATTTGAGATTTCTGACTTTATGAATCATAAATTACAGAAAAATTAGTAACTGATACGAATTAGTAAGAGATATGACACTTCACACAGTGTATTCCATATCAATTCATTAGAAAGAATGTATGTTTTGTTTTAAGCACAAAATTTTTTACCACAGTATTTTAGGAATGGAGAGAAAAAAGCAGTGTGTTTTTTAGTAGATGCTACTGCTTGTAGTTGGACAGATGATTAAAACAAATGAAGTAAGTTTTTTAGAGAAAGTTTTTTAGAGAAGTGGTGAACTATTGCTAAACTAACAACATAATTTAATTGGTTAAAATTAAGCTTACTTAAGTAAAGAACTAGCTTCATATTCTTTTAATTATATGAAAATATGTTTTTTTTTAACATAAATCTGCTTTCCTTGTGAACTGTCAGCTATCTTTGCGTGGATTGCAGTTTATATTCTGTACAAAGGGATTCAGGTAAAGATATTAGTGGAAGTTGAAACACAGTTATTGTTGTTATCAAAGGCCCTTTTCTCTAATCATTTTCCCTGGAAGACAAAGGAACTGTTGATGATTATACATTTGCTTTATTTTGTTACATTCAGCACTTAGCTTCTAGAATAGGATAGGTAGAATTTAGGAACTCACTAATACTTTATACATCTGTAGAATATTCAGATGTCCAACATTTACATTCCCCTCTCATCATGACATTTTGGTACATTATGTATATTTTTCATGTGATTAAAAGAAAAAATCTTCCTTCCCATCTGTGCTTTTCTTCAACTCAACATTTCAAGTTTATAATTTAATTTGTTTGGTTATGCTATATTGTTAATACTTACACATTATTTATTTCTCCTGATTCTATTCATATATTAAAATATTTAAATTTTAATTTCAGGTATATTATATTTTTTTGCCCATGTGACCTAGTTTCCCAGGCCTATTCATTCCTACCTGTTCAACTTTTGGCTGCTGGAATGAAGGAAGTGACCAGGACTTGGAAAATAGTAGGTGGAGTCACACATGCTAATAGCTATTACAAAAATGGCTGGATAGTCATGATAGCTATTGGATGGGCCCGAGGTAATATTAACAATATATGTTCATAAATATTCTGTTACTGATGTTCCATAACTACTGAATAGTGAGAATTGCATACTTTAATCATAGCAGTTTTTTGGAAGGGGGAACCTTGTTTCCTGACTCCTAAGGTTTATTCAAAGCTAGTACTTTTCACTAGTCATCACCTATTATATTGAATGTGACTGCCTTTTTGATTTTGTTTTTGTTTCTTGACATAGCATGTCTGTATGTTGTTCAGGCTGGCCTTGAACTTGTGGTGATTTTCGTGCCTCAGCCTTCCAAGTACTGGGATTACAGGCATGCAGTACCATACCACCTTGAACCTGACTGCCTTATGATATAAAATATTTATGACTGGTTTCATTAGGACCCCCTGAAGCAGAGATTAATTATTTTACCATAAATAAAACAAGTTTATGTAGGAAATTGTGATTCATGTAAAAAACAAACATTGCTCTTTTTTTTATTGCTCTTTTTGTGAGTGTTTTTTTCCTCCACAAATTATTGAGAATAGTAAATAAAGTTGATTATGGATTCATGTTCACGTTGTGTCCGTTGCTTTTGCTTATATATAGTAATTGAACAAATTCCTCTAACTTTTTGTTATGTATGCACCTGAAACTAATCATATGAGAAAAAGAAATGATAAAGCCAAGGATATATATATTTTTTCTGGTCAGAAACAGACCTCTGAACCATACTATCGGTGCATAAGGCCCCAATTTTGTCTGAATTACAGTGGACTGTTCCCATGCTGGTGAAAAAGTAGAGTTGCAGTTATTTCAGTGTCTTAAATGTACAAAGGAAATGTTTTTCTTCCTCTCAAGAATTCTATTTTGGCACTCTTGAAGTTTAAACCAAGTGGTAGAATTATGACTCCCTTGATATATTTTATTTTTTATTATTCTATTTTCTATTTTTTGAAGCTGATTGGCTAAATAATCTTGTTTTCTTATTTTCAGGTGCAGGTGGTACCATAGTGACAAAATTTGAGCAGTTGGTAAAAGGAGATTGGAAACCAGGAGGTGATGAATGGCTGAAGATGTCTCAGTACGTTGGTGTATATTATACTGAGATCTGGATATTTATCCTTAATTTTACTAAATTTCTTTAAAGAACATTTTGGGGAATCTAAATGTGAATGAAATATAACTTAAAAATGGTAATGACAGTAGGAGAGTCAGAAAATTTTATTTTTTCCAAGAATTTGTCCTCCCAAATGAAGTTTTAAAATAAGTATTGATTCTCTTCTCTATGGGTTTCTCCCCTTAAAAAACAAAACCAAATCTCTGTGTTATCACAGAATTGTGAGAGGGTTATCTATGGTATGAGAAAGAACTACCTCTCTGGGTGGAGATGAATTAATTACAAGCTCTTGGAATTTTCATTAATGACTACAATGTCACCCACATTTCAGATTATACATAGTTCTAATAGTAAAGTGACAAATTTATGGGGAAAAAATCAATATAATACCCTGTAAATTGCTTAAAAAATGACAATTGAGCTTAATTACCTGTAAAAATAAGAAAAAGATTAAGAATATAATCCACTGTATACTTTTATGGTGCAAAATACGTGTTGAATCTATTTAAGAGAACCTAATCATAAGATGCTTTCTAGAGATACAGACGTAATATTAAATAAGTTACAGATATATACCTGATGCAACTGAAAGTGAAATGGGTATAGTTACTGTTCCTCTTTTTTTCCGGTACCAGGGATCGAACTCAGGACCTTGTGCTTGCGAGGCAGGAGCAGTGCCACTGAGCTAAATCCCTGTCCCCACTGTTCCTAAAGTTAAGAAAAACATACAGGGAGAGTGGCCATAATGAGCAAAGTGAAGAAGAATTTCATGTGAAAATAAATTCATGTTTTTAAAATGGATTAAAAATAAAGGTCAAGCAGCAGTATGAATGATAACATATATTTGAAGGAACCAACAAATTCCAGGATACTTAACTTGGAAAATAAACTCTTATGTGTGAAAGAGATTGTTTATAAATAAAGTTTAGGAGGCTTGGATTGACGATGTTATAAATAAGATATTACTAACATTCATGGGAAATTTTCCTCATTATGAGTATGTGCCTTGAAACATCTTCTGTAAAACATTTCTTGGGGCTTTTATAACCAAAACAAAATTATGTTTCACCTTTGTTCAAAACTTTGCAGTCACTCCCCAAAATGCTCTAAGTTTCCAAGATCTACCTATCTAAAACCCCAATTTACTTTGGTTTCCTATCTTTTTAAGATTATCATCATCTCTCTTCACCATTCCACTCTATCCTTGAACAAGCAAATGTGGTTTGCTTTAGCAATAGCCTTTCTCTCTACCTAGAATCTTTTCCCCTAAATGGCTCAAAGTAGTTTGCTCAGTTTGCTGTCTTTGCTCAGAGTAGTTTTTCAGCATTTACCTTCTCAGTTCAGACTACTTAGCTTATAATTTACCTTTCTTTTTTTTCCACAGCATTAATCACCTTCTAACATATTTTCTTATTCATTATATTTCTTCTCTATCATATTTGGAAAATTTGTTTCCTTTTTTTGTGCTATATTGTGTGGTCTAATCATATTTTGTTTATCTGTTCATCTGTTGGTGGCTATTTGGTTTGATTCTAGTTTTTGAGCTATTGTGAGTAAAGTTGCTATGAATATTTGTATGCAACGTATTGTGTAGATATACATTTTCATTTTATTTGTTGTTGTGGGATGTCTGGGTTATGTAGTAGTTGTATTTTTAACTTTTTGAAAACAGCCAAGGAGTTTTCCAAAGTGTCTCCCCCACCCCCCGCAAAGTGTTTTAAGAGTTCCAGTGTTCCATATTATTGCCAAGGCTTAGCATTGTTAGTCTCTTTAAAGGCTCACACAAATTCTAATAATTATATTTCTCATTATGATTTAAATAGCATTTTCCTTTGGACCAAGGATGTTGAGGGTTTTTTAAAAAAATATGCTTATTGGGCCATTTCCATGTTTGCTTGACAAGTGTCTCTATGTCTTTCTTTGTCCCCTAATATTATTATTATTATCATCATCATCAGTTTCTGAGTTGTAATAATTCTTCGTATATTCTGGATACTGTTTCTGTATTGGGTGTGTTCTTTTGATAAAGCACAATTTTATAATTTTTAAAATGCTTTTGTAGTCTATGAAATCTTTGCCTATCTCTGAGTTGCAAAGCTATTCCTCTTAGGTTTTCAAGAAGTTTCTAGGGCCAGGAATTTAGCTCAGTGTCACCGCGCCTGCCTTACAAGCACAAGGTCCTGAGTTCAATCCCTGATACCAAAAAAAACCAAACAAACAAAAAAAGTAAGTTTCTAATTTAGCTTTTACAATTAAGTATATGAACTATTTCTGATTAATTCTTTTTGGTTTGAGACTTGTTTTTCTCTTATATGCCCGTTTGTTATAGTACAATTTTTTGGAAAGTCCTCCCTTTCCCCATTGTATTGTCTTGTTACATTTTTTGATAATTTAAGGGACCATATATTTGTGAGTATTTTTGGCCTCTGCTTTATTGATCCGAAAGTCCATGTTAATGCCAGTACCACACTGTTTTGATTGCTGGAATTTTTTATTAGCTTTGAAAGCAGATAGTGAGTCCCCTAATTTTGTTCATTCTTTCTTTTTAAATCTTAATTTCTTGGCTTTTTGAAGTCCTTTGTATTTTCTATAAGTTTTAAAATTTATGAAACAAGCCCATAAGAATTCTATTGGGATTGCATTGTATCTGTTTATTAATTTAGGAAGAATGAGATCTTAGCAATATGAGGTCTTCTAGTACATGATCATTGTATATATCTATATTTAGGTCTTCTAAAAAATTTCTAGAGGCCTTGTATGTCTTTTATTAAATTTATTCCTAAGTATTATATTTTTGACACTTGTAAATAAAATTTTAACAGATTTATCTTTTGATTGTTATTAATATGTAAGAATACAATGGGTTTATATATTAACCTTATATTGTTAGTTCTAGTAGTTTTATAGATTCTCTTAAGATTTATATTTATATCATTTGCAAAAAATGATAGTTTTTGCCCTCTTGCAGTGGTCAGTACTATTAACACATTACTGAACAAAAATGAGAGTAGACACATTGCCACTGTTGCAGTGATGACAGGATCTCCTCCTTTTTAAAGACTGAATAGTAGTATCACATTGTGTGTGTGTGTGTGTGTGTGTATCTCATAGCCTTTTTATCTATTTGTTGACAGTTTGTTTCTATATCTTGGCGACTATGAATACTGCAGCAATGAATTTGGGAGTACAGATGTCTTTAGAAGGTGGTGATTTAATTTTTTTCGCATATATACCCAGAAGGTGATTGCCAGGTTATATAATAGTTTTATTTTTAATTGTTTTAGGCACTTATATGCTGTTTTTCATATTTTGCCGTACCAATCCACATTCCCACAGTATCTAAGGGTTTTCTTTTCTCCATGCTTTTGTCAGCACTTGTCTCATTTCATTTTGATAATAGCTTTCCCAATGGGTATACATTAGAATCTCATAGTAGTTCTGATTTGCATTTCTCTGATGATTAGTGGTGTTGAACATCTTTTTTTATACCTTTTGGCCATTTTTATGTTTTTGGAGAAATGTCTATTCAGTTCCTTTGTCTGTTTTATTTTAAAATCAGGTGTGTTTTTTCTTGGTATTAAGTTGTGTGAATTCTATAAATTTTGAGTATTAGCCCTTTATCAGATACATGGTTTACAAATATTTTCCCAACCTGTAGATTGCCCTTTCATTTTGGTGATCGTTTCCTTTGCTATGCAGAAGGTTTTTTGATTTTTTTTTTTGCTTTTGTAATCCAAGATTTTGATGTGATATCCAAAAAGTCATTGCCAAAGCCAGTGACAAAGATCTTTCCTTGTGTTTTCTTTTAGTATTTTTTTGGTTTCAGTTCTTCTCTTTAGATCTTTTATCTATTTTGAATTGATTTTTGTATCTGGATGTAAGGTAAGGATATAGTTTCATTCATTTGTTTGGAACTCCAATTTCCCCACCACTATTTTTTGAAGAGACTGTGTGTCTTCTTATTGAAAATTAATTGACTGCATATGTTTGGATTTATTTCTAGGCTCTCTTCTGTTGTGCTGGTCTGTGCATATGTTTTTATTCCAGTAACATACTGTATTGATTTTATTATTGCTTAATATTTAGTATATATCTTCCACTTCCTTGGTTGTATTTATGCCTAGGTATTTTATTCATTTAAATTCTATTGTAATAGAATTGTTTTCATTTCTTTTCAGATTGTTCATTCTGCCTATTCCATTTTTGAAAATACAGTATCCAGTTTCACCCAAAACAAAGTCAAGCCTTCCTCCCGACAGAATCTCTTCTGTAGTGTTTCCCTTCTCTTCCATTTCCCTCCCTTCATTCCTAAAAAAGTGTAATATGGGGCTGGGGATTTAGCTCAGTGGTTCCAGTGCCTGCCTCACAAGTGCAAGGTCCCAAGTTCAATCCCCGGTACCAAAAAAAAAGTGTAATATGTATATGTATGCATTATGAAAATTTTTGGAAAATACCAATATAAAAGAAAAAAATGGTGACCTATTGCTTATTGGCAACTACTGTTAATATAGTGTATTTCTATCTAGTTCTTTTTTTCTTTATAACTATATATCTTTATAGTAGATAAGTGAATTAGGTTGAATAATGGTCCTAATCCCTGGTACTTCTAAGTGTTACCTTATATAGAAATAGTCTTTGCAGATTTGCAAGTGTTTTGAGGTAAAGAGATAATCCTGGATTGGAGGATTATCCTGCAGGTGGGAGCCTCATTCATTCATATATATCCTTATAAAAGATGGGCAGAGGTAGACTTGACCCCAAATAGAAGAGAAGGCTATGTGATGATGAGGCAGAGATTAGTGCTGTAGCTAAAGAGTGCCTGTAGTTACCAGAAGTTGGAAAAGACAGGAAGAGATTCTCCTTTAGAGAATCTGGAGGGAATGTGGCCCTGCTAACACTTAGGTTTGACTGAGTGATTTTTGACTTCTAATTTATAATAATTTGTTACAACAGTCACTAGAAACTAATGCAGATTTCAGTACCAGAGTATGTAGTTGCTGCTGTAACAAATATCTGAAAATGTGAAATTGGCTTTGGAATTTGATTATGGGTAGAGGCTAGAGGAATTTTGAAGTGCATGATCAGAAAGGCCTGCATGGCTTTAAACAGGCTGTTGGTAGAAACATGGATGTTAAAGGTACTTCTGGTGAGTGTCAGAAGGAAGTGAGAAACATATTAGAGAAAGCCTACATGGTCTCAGAAAATATATAGATTGTCATAAACAGAATGTTGTAGAAATATACATTAAAGGTACTGGTGAGGTTCTTACCAGAAGGGAACAAGAAACATGACATTGGACACTTCATGCTGGAGTGGTCACTGTTTTATTTGAGACAGTTGGATGCATTGCCTCTCCATTCTGTGTAGCATCCTGAAACTGGCAATGATGGGAATATTTGCATCATAGAAATGGGCAGATACCACAAATAAGGTCTTTTTTCCCTTTCTTCTCACTCTATTCTGAGAGCTTATTTAGCACTGAAGGTTTTTAAAGACTTAATCTCAAATCAAACAATGGAGTATGAGACTTTGAAGTCTTTTTTCAAAAGGTATTTTGTTGCCAAATATGTTTGCATATTTGCATTATAGAAGCATATTCATTTAATAAGTTTTTATTAGTACATGTTTGAAGTATGTGTCTATAATTATCATAGGGAGTAGGTACAGGTACTTAACATACTTAGTTCTTTTTATTTCTCTTTCCCTCCCTTCCCTTGCCCTCTCTCCATCTCTAGATTCCCTTCATATTTGCAGAAGATGTATCTCCCTGTTTCCTATTGTCTATCCTTCATTTTGTTTTTAAATTTATACTTTGGTTTCTCACATGAGGGAAGTTTTACAATATTTAAGCTTGTGTGTCTGACTTATTTCACTTAACATTATGATTTCAAGGTTCATCCATTTTCCTATGAATGACTCAAATTTATCTTTCTTTATGGCAGAATAGTATTCTATTGTGTATAAATAACCACATTTTCTTTATACATTCATTTGTTGATGGATATATAGCCTGCTTCCAAGATTTAGCTGTTATGAGTTGTGTTGCTATAAACATGGGTACACGTTCTGCATGTGTCACTGGTGTGATGCTCTTTAATTCTTTTGGGAAAATACTTAGTAAGGGAATAGCTGAGTTGAATGGAATTTCTGTTTTTAGTTTTTGCAAGAATCTCCATATTGATTTCCATAGGGTTGTACCTGTTTATACTCCCACCAGCCATGGAGAAGGGCACTTTTTCCTCCCTGTAGCCTCCCCAGTGTTTGTTATCGTTTGATTTCTTGAAGATAGACATTCTTTCTGGAATGGAATCTGAGTTTTGTTTTAATTTGCATTTCTTTGATGACAGAGATGTTGAGTATCTTTTCGTGTATTTGTACTTCTGAGAGGTGTCTGTTCATTTCACTTGCCCATTTTTTTGATTGGCTTTTTTATTTTTAGGGGTCTGATTTTTTGAGTTCTTTGTATATTCTGGATATTAGTCCTTGGTCAGAAGAATAGCTGGCAAATATTTTTTTCCTTTTCTGTGGGTTGTCTCTGTTGGTTGTTTCCTTTGCTGTGCAGAAGCTTTTAGATTTGATATAATCCCATTTGTTCATTTTGATGTTATTTCTTGTGCAGTTGGGGTTCTGCCTATGTTTTCAAAAGCTTTTACCTATTTTGTCATCCAGCAGATTGTTTTAATATTCATATCTTTGATACATTTTTATTTTATTTTGATACATGGTGATAGATATGGGTCTAGAATCAGTCTTCTGTATGTATGTAACCAGTTTTCCCAGCACCATGTTAAAGAGACTTATCTTTCCTCTAGTGTATGTTTTTGGCCCCTTTGTCAAAGATTCAAATGACTTAATGTGCCTGGGGTTGTTTCTTCATCTTCTGTTCTGTTCCATTGATTCACATTTGTTTTTATGCAGGTACCATGCTGTTTTTATTACCATAGCTTTGTAATTTGAAATCCAGGATTGTAATGCTTTTCACTTTATCAGAGAGTCACAGTATATATGCACATTCTAAGATATCTAATACTTTTTGCAGTAAAGAAAGGTATTTAACTTTGTATAATTCAGCATGTCTAAAAATTTATGAGTATATTCATAAAACTCATTTTTTGTGTTAATGCCAATTAGTAGCTCACTACTAGAGAATTCTCTGAGATTTCAATAGATAATGTTTATTACTTACTCAAGATATGTTTTATTTTCAGCGCTTCCAAGTTAACCATGCTGGGGTCAGTTATCTTCACGTTTCAGCACACCGAGCATCTGGCAATATCAAAGCATAGTCTTATGTTCTTTTATACCATCTTTCTTGTGACCGCAAAGGTAAGAATTCCAAGTATCTATAAATTAGTATTACAAATTCTGTATAATCTTTCTCCTTTGATAGAATCCTATATATTGAGACAGTAACCAGAGCATTTGTTTTGTATTGTTATTAAAAGTGGAAAAAGATGAATTTGGGGGAGTTTATTTAGCATATAACATAACTTTCTGAAACATAGCTCTCTGTAATTCCTTATCTGTTTTATGTTGAGACCAACAGAAAACATTTGCAGATAGCCTGTTAGTATATTGGAAACTAGAAAGTAGTGGAAATAGTTAAGGCTGATCAGTGACTGCAAAAATAATGTTGCTGCATTTGTAAAATGAAGCATGTAGGGTAGATGTTCTCTGAGTTTCTTTAAGGTCTAAGATTTTAAGATTTTACATTAGGACATATTTATGGTCATTCTGTTCTTTGTGAAGATGGGAGGTAGTATGGTATCAAATTATAGGTTTTAGAGATAGGCAATGTTAAGTTCAAATTCTTGTTTTGTTACCTATTCTTTGAGTATGCAAATCATTTAATGTCTCTGTGTTAGTCACCTTTCTATTGCTGGGACAAAATACCAGACATACACAGCTTAAGAGAAGAAGGGCTTCTTCTGGCTCATAGCTTCAGAGGGTTCAGTCCATGATAGGTGGCTCCCAAGCAGAAACATAGTGGAAGGGCATAATAGAAGAAAGCTGCTAACCTTATGACAGCAGGGAAGAAGAGTGGGCAAGGAAGAACCAGAGAGGAAGGAGCCAGGGATCAGATTTAGTCTCCAAGGTTGTACCCTCATGACTAACTCAAACACACCAGAAATGTGCTTTATCAATCTCCTAGACCTCTCTCAAACCAATCAAGTTGGCAATCAAGGTTAGCCACTTTAGTCTGAATCCCAACTTCCTTATCTGCACTGAATGATTGTTGAGAGAATTGGAGATGATGTATGACATTCTGTTACTGTGTCTGACATGTTTTGAGTTTTATTTATAGCTATGTCATGAGGCTAATTCTGATTTTTTTTTTACCATTATTAGGTATTGCTTCCTATTCATCAGTAGATAGTTGATTTTAGAATCAGATTATCATTTAAACATAGAGAAATTTTATGGCTACCTACAGGACTCTGAAAAGGAAAACAGTGTATAAATTTATATCTCAGAAAAGGGTAAAGTCATTAGAGAGATCATTTATGTTTCAGGGGTCTTTGCAGTGGAGCTGGTCTGTGGCTGTAATGTACTTCAAATGTGTGAGGCAAAAATCTCTTCACTTCATTCAGTTTTGAGCTGTATGTAATTTTTTTCTAATAGTTTTATTGAGATATATTTTGCATACCACACAACCTACATGCTTAAAATCTAAGTTGAATGATTTTTAATATATTTACAGTTATGCAGTTATTACCACAGTCAATATTAAGAGCATTTTTATTACCCTGACAGAAAGCCTCATACCCATTAGCAATTACTTAACATTTTCTTGAACACCCCCAACTATAAACCATTTTATTTTCCCATTGATGGACATTTTGGTTGTTTCTCCTTTTGGCTAGTCTGCATAATGAGCTATGAACACTTGTGAACAAATTTTTGTATAGGCATGTGCTTTATTTCTCTTGGCTGTATCATCTAGTAATAGAATTGTTAAGTCATTTAGTAAGTATATATTTAACTTTTTTTTTTGGTAAAATTGTTTTGAATTTTAATTTATTGGTACCTTTTAGACATACAGTATAATGACATTAATCATTGGACATTTGGACCTTTACGTAATCTCTCTTGGTTCTTATTTTTCCCCATTCCCCTGCCCTACCTTCAACCCCTCCATCCCTCCCTATTTACAAAGACTTTGTTTCCATTTTTCCATTTTTTCATATTCCATTCCCTTCTTTCCTTTCCCCTACCGTTCCTATTTCCCCTTCTCCTTTGCCCCTTTTCTTCCTATTTCACGTTATCTACTATAGCTTGTAGTCCTTATTTACACTTTCAGTTTCTCACACTAGAGAAACTATTTGGTATTTACACATATGTGTCCTGTTTATTTCACTTAAGAGTATTGCCCTAGTGTGCATGCATTTAGCTATAAATGTCTCTAGTTTCTCATTTTTTATGGCGAAGTAGCACTCCATTGTATAAAAAAAACCTCACATTTTTTTTATCCAGTCTCCAGTTGATGGGCATTTGGGCTGTTTGCAAGTTTTAGCTATTACAAATTGTGTTGCTATTAACATGGGTACACATATGTCACTGTGGTATGATTCTTTTAATTCTTTTGGGAAGATCCCCAGCGGGGGAATAGCTAGGTCAAATGGGACTTCTCGTCCTAGTTCTTTGAGGTATCTCCATACTGATTTCCACAGTGGTTGCACCAGTCTGCACTCCCACCAGCAGTGGAGCAGGGTTCCTCTTTCCCCACAGCCCTGCCAGCATTTGTTATTGGTTGATTTTATGATAACAGCCATTCTTTCTGGAGTGAGGTGGAATCTCAGCATTGTTTGCATTTGCATCTCTTGAATGACCAGTGATGTTGAACATTTTTTCATATGTTTATTTACTATTTCTACTAGAATTTTTAGGTCTTCTTCATTCAACTTTGGTGATTCATACATATCTAGGAATCTGTCCATTTCTTCTGTGTTGTCCATCTTATTGGCGTATGGGTTCTGGAAGTAGGTATTGATGATCCTCTGGATTTCTGCTGGGTCTGTTGTAATTTCACCCTTTTCATTCCTAATTGCATGGATTTGGGCCTTTTCTTTCCTTTTTCTGACAAGGTTGGCTAAAAGTTTGTCAATTTTGTTGATTCTTTCAAAGAACCAACTCTTGGCTTCGTTGATTTTTTTTGTATCGTTCTCTTAGTCTCCATTGCATTGATTTCTCCTCTGATCTTTATAATTTCCTCCCTTGTATGAGCTTTGAGGTTGTCCTGCTCTTCTTTTTCTATAAGCTTGAGGTTCAGCATGAGGTTGTTTAATTGGGCTCGTTCTGTTTTCCTAATATGCATATTCACTGCTATGAATTTCCCTCGTAAGACTGCTTTCATTGTGTCCCATAGATTCTGATATGTTGTATTGTCATTGTCATTTAATGGAAGGAACTGTCTGATTTCTTCTTTAATTTCCTCTATGACCCATTGGTTATTCAGAAGTGTGTTGTTCAATTTCCAAGTGGATTGATATAGGATTGAAAAATACTTTTAATTGAGGTAAATAAAGGAAATGAAAGTTAAGAGTATATACTATTTTAAAGGAATTTAGAGGGAGTATAAATAGTGACAAATCTTAGAAGAGTACTTTGGCAGAGTCTGAAAAATTATAGATTTATGTGTGTTGTGACCTGTTAATTCCATTTCTAGGTATAACGAACAGCAGTGTTTCCCAAGGTGTTAATTGAAGGCCCAACTTCATTAGGATCACTTTAAAAATACTTTAAGAAAGTAATGCTTAATATTTACTTACAAAATACTTAGGAATGAGCTCCTTTAAAATTTTTTCAAAATTCACTTTGTAGGAGTATAATTTATATATAATAAAAGGCTGTTCAAACTAGGAATACATTTGTAATGAATTCTGACAAATTTGTATACCTGTGTATCTACCACCATAGTCAAGATACGGAATATTTGTATCACTTCAAAAAGCTCTCTTGTGCTGTGCCCTAGAGAATCACAGCCACTACCCATAGTACCAGGGTGCCAGTTGTCTGCTTTCTAACATAATAGATTAGATTTCTTTTCTTTTTTTTTGGTAGGGGATCGAACTCAGGACCTTGCGCTTGCGTGGCAGGTGCCAGAACCACTGAGCTATATCCCTGACCCTAGATTTATTTTCTTTATTTTCATGTTTGCTCAAAATAATGTCTCTGAAATTTACTAATATTTTATTGTATATTTCTTGTTATTGCTAAATAGCATACTGATATACCAATTTATCCAGTTATCTGTTGATCAGTTAGGAGTTGTTTCCAGTTTCTAATTATTCAAATAAAGTTACATGAATAAAGCTGCTGTGTGTGCTTTGTGAGGTAAAGATCAGGTTTATTTTTTTTCCATATGAATATGGAGTTGTTCTAGCACTATTTGTTCAAAAGACTCTTCTTTTTCCCATTGAATTACATTGCCTGGTTTATTGAAAATCAATTGCCTGACATATATATGTCTGTGTGTTCTATATTCTATTCCATTGATGTATGTGTCTATCTCTAGCTACTACTAAGTTGTCTTAATTATAACTTTTAGTAGGTCTTGAAGTAAAGTAGTATATATTCTTTGTCATTTTTCAAGATTTCTTTGGATATTCTCGGTCTTTTTACATTTCCAAATGATTTTTCCAAATGATGGCGAAGGTATGGTGGAGGAATGCTCCAAATCATGGCATCCAGGCAATAGAGAGTAGGCCAAGAGCCAGAGAGGAAGGGGCCAGGAGCAGAAACAGTCCTGAAGGTCAATCCTCCCAACTCCCTTTCTCCAACAGCACCCCACCTCCTGATAGCCCGTTTAGCTGTGAACTCATCAGTGGATTAACCCACTGATGATTAGTACCCTTACAATGCAGTCACCTCTCCAGGAGTCCCTTAATCCAGTCAGGTTGACAATGAAGATTAAACAGTTGATTTCTTGCATGTTTGTTTTTCTTTCTCATTTTTTTCCTAGTTATTCTTATATATTGGTATGAACTTCAAAAGCAATTTAAATCTATTAAAGAACTTGGTATTTTTATTGAAACTGTAACAAATTTGTAAATTAACTTGAGATTTCAGTTACATAGGGAGAAAAGCAAGAGTGAGGTCAGAGTATTGAAGTTCTCTAATACTTAGTGAAAGTAGTTTTAGAATGGGAAGCTAGAAATGAATGGTTAATGATGAGGAAAACGAGGAGATGGTTTTAAGAAGGATAGTTGAGGATGTTGAGAAGTATAAATGGATAATGAATTGTTGAAAACATGACTGAGGGTTGCTATACTTAGGCTCTTTTGGGGATATAGATGGTCATATAGACATTGAAGAAGACTTAAGCCCTGTCTTCAAGATGTTGCTGTCAAAAAGAGACATGTAAACTATATTTTTAAAGTTTATGAGGTTATGGACTAAGTTTGCTTTGTTCATTTCTCCATTTCTAACAGTATCTAGCACATGTAGTTAATTTTTAATTGTATTTGTTGACTGACTTACTGATAAATTACCAAAATGCTCTTTCATAAATATCTCTGACGTAGTTCTTCCACATTTATTTATCTAAGGATCTACGTCAGAAGTGAGGAATTTATTTACCCAATTTTTGGAAAGACATTTGTAAAGATTTAAGTCCTAAGATTATAATTTATGTGACCATTTGGATTAATAATTATTGGTGGCTGAGTGAATGATATTACCTATGCAGAAAGCATAGAGTGAACCGAAAATCTGGTTGAAAATGCCATGTGCTATATGGGGTTCATTGTAGGGGAAAATGGCTTTCATTGGAAGACAATGATGAAGGTTTAATAGACCAGACCAGTCTATTGAACCTGTTAGAGCTTTCAGTGATAACAAACAGCCAGCTGTGGCACTCCTGGCATAGGTTCGCCACCACTGGACTAGACCCCAGAGATAACATTATTGTTGGCTTTGGGTGGATAGAGATGGGATGAAAAATGTTCTGGGTGGAGAACGAGATTATTCAAATTTTCCGTATGTAGATATGGATTATTCATGTGAGGTAGGTGTTATATTCATCTTTTTATTGTACTTTCACTCTTAGGCATTGTAGAGTAAAAAAAGTGCATAAGTACCAAAGAAGTTACAGTATTTATCACATTTCTCTGGGTGTTTTGAAATGATGTAATTTGAAATATTATATAAAGAATGTGCCAGAGCCTTAAACAATTTCCTTACCTGAGTTTATTTATATTTTAGGATATGTTGAGAATACCAAAGTATCTTTAGGGCTTCTACTTTGTTTTGTTTCCTTTTTAAGCAAAAAATAATGAAGCTAAATAATGCTGTTTAATTTAGGTAAAATGTTCTTCTAATAGTTTACTAAAAAAAGTAGGAAGTTTTATAATTTATTCATAAAAGAATAAGGATTCATTCTATTTGTCGCAGTTTTATATCTGGTACCTTGCTAAGGCCTAATAAAGGACTGAATTCACAGAAGTCTGTCCTTGAACTTTGTAAGTCTATATCACCAGTAATTTCTGATTCTAGCAATATTTCTCAGTTGAGTGATGAGTCTATAGGGAGCAGAGATTCTATTAAAACACTTGACTTTGAAAAATACTTATTAGTTCATGTTCTTGGGAAATACTTTAAATCCTGACAGGCTTCTCTTTTGGATTTTGCTGTTTTCCTAATAGTAGACCATTGTTTTTTATCTGAACTTTTCTTATCTTTTATTAACGACCCATTAAGCTAAGCTAGGGCAAAGATACTATGCTAGTATATTTCATTATAACTATTTATTTATTTATTTATTCATTCATTCATTCATACATTCATTCATTCATTTTGCAGTACTAGGAATTGAATCCAGGGTCTTTGCACTGAACAAACAAACTGCACATAGCTCCATCCTCAGCCCTTTTGTTTGTAAGCAGGGGAGATACTGGAGATTACCCAGGACCTTAGCACTGAGCTGGCTCCTTAGCCCTTTCTTATTTTTTATTTTCAAGACAGGGTCTTGTGAAGGCTCTAAATTGCTCATATTGGGCTTGAACTTGGTATCCTCCCAGAGTGCTGGGATTACAGGCAAGTGCCACCAGACCTCGCTGTAACTGTTTATTCTAAAGAATAATGTAGTATAAGAGAGTTGTTCTTAGATTTCACTTAAAAATGGCATGAACTTGGATTTGATATTATAATGAGTGCCCTCTCACTCTGTCCTCTCCAAATGACCACATTCCTATTCATACCTTTACTTTTCGCTTGTATGGTAATGGCTTCCTTATCTATATACATTCCAGGTGTGTCCAACCTGTGGCCTGCAGGTTGGGCATGCTTGTTTATAATAAGAATATAGCTGTTCTGTTATATACGTTAACTATATTATATGTTTTATATACTACCCAAGACAATTCCTCTTCACTCAGTGCAGCCAAGCAAGCCAAACATGTTCAGCCTTGGACAAACCTCTGTTATTACACTTTCTCTTTTTTTTTTTTTTTTTTAGTACTGGGGATCGAACTCGGGTCCTTGCGCTTGCGCAGCAGGCAGCGAAACAACTGAGCTAAATCCCTGGCCCATACTTTCTCTTTAGTGTTTTCTTTTTTTCCTTAAATTCTTTTATTGGTACATTTTAGGTATACAATATGTTTACATTTATCATTGGGTGCTTGTACCTGTACATGATGTATCTTAGTTCTTATTTTTTTCCCATTACCTGTGTGCCCTTCCCTATTTACATAGACTTCGTTTCCATTTTTTTTTTCTTTTCAAATAATTTTTCCTTTTTATTCTTTCCTTTCCCCATCTCCTCCCACCACCCCTACCCCTTTGGACCTTTTCCTATTTCAAAGTATCAATTATTCGTTATTAAACCTTTTAATCCTTATTTACACTCTCAGTTTCTCACTCTTTAGTGTTTTCTAATTACTGATTTACTTGCCTATCTGGCTTATCTGTAAAGTTCTTGAGGGCAGGGACAAAGTTCAAAATTCTTCTGGCAGCCAGATTGTTTTAATCCTGTTGATGCTTGGTTTTATATCTTGTTAGTACTATTCTGTTTCAGGTTTGCCCTTCTAGAATGTAACCCTTTAAGAATATCAGTTTAATACCGAGGTATATTGCTGGACAGTTGCATTTAGCTGACTTTCAACTCCAACCTGTCCTTCCTAGCACCAAGCAGCTAACTGGTGAAATGCTACTCAACTCTTGGCCTCTCACCTGTTCTCTGCTAGGCTTTTGAAGTGTCCTCCTTCTTATGTATTCACAGTTGAGGGGTTGACAAACTCCTCTAGAACAGATTACACATTGGTGTTTGGGCTTATTGCCTACCTGGTTCCCTCTGCTCTGGGCTGTATTGCCCTCAAGTCCTAGATCAGTGGTGGTGAAAGTGGCACACATGCTGCAGTGGGTACATAGAGCCCTCTTTATTGGCACATGTGTCAAGTCCCCCCCCAGCATGCCACATGCAGACTTTAACCTTTCAATAAGAAGTTGTTTATATCATTGAAAGCTCTGTTACTGTGTTTTTAAGACAAAAGATGTTAATATATGATTTGTTTTTTCTAAACTAAAACTTCACTATTCAGGTTTAATTGCAGTGTTGGCACTTTGTCATACATAAGTGGGTTTTGGGTTGCAAATTGGGCCCTAGGTTTCTAAAAGGTTCACCATCACTGTCCTGGATGCTCTGGTTTTGTCAGACTCCAGCTTCTGTTTCCTTAGTCCATTGAGACTTCTGCTTTCTTTTCACATGTGCTTAGAATTGGCAGATATTCTTAAAAATTCATGATGAATGTGGAGCTCGTTTTATTCAGCTTCTTTCAGGTTTTGCATGTACTGGTGTTTCTCTGGTGCCTTTTAGCAGTTTTTTAATGTATTTCTGTCTTTTATTTTGATTTTGATGAGAAACTAAGTCTGATATAAGCTGTGTAGTCATGGCTAGCCTAAAGTCCATGTGCATGCATTTTAAAAAGTTGTTTTTATTGGGGTCAGGGTCACCTAACAGCATCAACTCTTTCAAAGTATATATTTCAGTGGCATTTAGTATATTCACAGTTTTGGATGTGAACAAATGTTTAATTTATATAAATGATAGTACACTATGCTCTTATTCTATCTCATTTTCACCTAATAGTATGTTCTAAGGGGTTTTTGCCTATTATTTTATTACTTTTAACTATTACATAGTATGCATTTCATTTATCTGTTTCCCTTGTGATGGACATGTAGTTTTACGACTTCACACTTCCATAGATCATGTTGTACTTAATAAGAATTTATTCTTGATAACATTTTCCCCAAGCAAGTGGATTATGTAGGGTCCTTTTTTGGAATTGTGATTCCAAAAATTTTTAATTTGATTCATTTCTGTGATCTGGAAGAATTGACTCTTGGGACTGGACTTTTGGAAACTATTCTAGACCTTAATATTTACTCCCAACCCCAAATCCATTTTAGCACCAGTATAATTTCTTGAGCAAACTGAGTATCTCTGATGACTGCATGTTGCTAGCTAAAAGATTTGAAGCACTCTCCATTCCATCTTTTGATATTTTGATATTTATATATCACCTTTTGAATGAAAAAAAATATATATTTAAAACAGTGTAAAAAACAGTATAGTTGAAGCTTTCTACAGTTCCTCTTAGGGGAGTATTCTGCAATTCACTGAAAGTCTGTGGCTTTTTTTAAACAATAGGTTAGTAATTGAACTCAAAATTTGGGTATTGCAAACTGCTTAACCACTTATTAGGTTTGTGAATTGGGGCAAGTTGCTTAAACTTTCAGAGCCTTAGTTCTAAATTCCTATGATGAAAGTAATAGAAGAATAGTTGTTGGGTTAAGTTCAAAGAGAATAATAATGTAAAGTTGTGGCACATGTTAAATACATAGAAATGATAGTTGTATTGGTTGTTGGTATAGGCTGTAGATGATATTTTATATTATTTCCTTTGAGTACTGTTTTTGTGGAAATGGTTATACTGCTCATTTGGCAACCCACAATATGGTACCTAGTATTATTTTTAATGTGTTCTTTTCCATAGAGAACAGAGATTTTCTCAAAATCCAGTTTAGTTTGTGTGCCTTGCAAATTAAATTGAGTGCATTTTAATCCTTTTTCTTTTTGTTTACTTTTCTCTTTGTTTTGAGAAACATAAGCATTTGTATCTAAATTCAAAATTGAACTTTTTCCTACCAGATAACCATGATGATGACAGAGACTTCTTCTGTGACTCTTGGTCCTTTTGAGGATACACTGAGTCGAATGCTGTTTGGCTGGCAGAAACAGTTTTCATGGTGTGAAACAAAACTATCTTCCAATGGCACTGGTTCATCGGCCTCAAAACCTGTACCTGATGCTTCACAGAATGTTAAAAAGAAGCATAATAAGAAGACTGAATAAATTTATTTGATGAGCTCTAGAAGGCAAAAAGTATATTTTTTTCTTCCTATCAGATTGTGGTAATATTTCTATGTAAATGATGTGAAATAAAGAGTATATATAAGAAATAGTGACAAAAAGAAAGAAATTCTTTCTGTTTCATGGAGATTACCATTTTCTTGGATTGTAATTTTGAGTGTTAGGTGTATATTCAGTGAATTTATTTTTCTGATATTAAACATTCTCTTAGGATTATTATTACTATTTTTGCAGTACTGAAGATTGAACTCATGGGCACTCTGCCATAGAGTTAAATATCTCCAACCCTTCAAAGTTTGTTGTTTTTTTTTTTTTAATTTTGAAACAAGGTCTCACTAAGTTGCCCAGGCTGCCATTAAACATGCAAATCTCCTGCTTCAGTCTCCTCAGTAGCTGGGATTACTGATGTGCCCAATTCTTATGATTATTTGAATAGTTTTATAATAAAAGAAGTGTAGTTTTTTAGATCTAGAAAAAGTATAGCTATTATGGCAAAATTACAAAACCTAAAGCTTAAAAAGCCTAGATATTTTCATAGTTTAAAGTCTGAATCTATTTGAGCTTTATTTACTGGAATTAAACTTTTATTTCCCATTACCATTATAATTCCTAGGTATAGAAAACAATTCCTGTTTAATTTTGAGCACTTACAGCAGTAAACATTTCCTAAAGCATTTTCTAAAGCATTGTATTCAAATGAAAATAAATTGCTAGTTTATATTTGATATGTAAAGGTAATTTTGCCCACATTAAATGGAAAATACTTGAAATTTAGTTTTATTTCTAGTAGTACTTTTCAGTGAGAACACAGCATTAATATGAGTCTCAATATGAAGTCTATTCATACCCTTGTATTAAAAACTCCTGGTTTTTTTTTTGTGTGTGTGTGTGTGGGTACACAATTTTAATGTTACTAACTCCATATTTTTTAATTTTCATTTTGGAAGTTTTTTCTTTTTCTTTCTCCTTAAAACATATTTGTTTCAACTATAGGAGAAACCCTTCTCCACATTTCACATGTTGTTTCTGGCCTTAATTGGTATGAATACATTACTGATTATTTGTGTGTGTGTGTGCGTGTGTGTGTGTGTGTGTGTGTGTGTGTGTGTGTGTTACTGGGGATGGATGGAGCTCAGGGCCTTCACAACTGAGCTACATCTGCAGCCCTTTTATAACATTTTATTTTGAGACAGCATCTCACTAAGTTGCTGAATTGCCCTGGCTGGATTTGAACTTGTGACCCTCCTACTTCAGCCTCTCAGAATCCTGAGATTACAGGCTTGCACTACCACATGTGCCTTGATGGTAGTTATCTTAATGATTCAACAAAAAGTATTATCTCTATTTAAAATTTTCCTTCTGCATGTCCTTTGTTGTGGCTCTTTTTTTTAGTTTTCTGTTTGAACATCTTTTGCTAACTTTTTGTGTTATGTTTTGTCTTAATCTATACACACATATTATTAATATGTAAATACTTGTCTTTAATGAGAATTGTCTTTGCACATTTGCACATTACATTAGTAATCAGCTAACAAAGAAGAAACAGAAACTGAAACCTCATATGGTTATCTGTTTAAATGAAGAATGATGACATTAGGTCTGGCTTCTTACTGGCAGTGGAAAGGAAACAGGAAAGGGTACTAAATGATGTTATATTTTTTTTCTTTATTTTATGGTTTAAAAGTCGTTATGACATTAAAACTTTGTGACATGATTTCTTATAACAAAACCACTTACGACCTGTATCAAGTAGTTTTGGATGGGTTAGAGATACTCAAATCATATTCAAATTGAAAGCTTTTTGTTTTTAAAATTTTAACTTATAAACACCAGCAGAGACTATAGTTTTACTTGCTTAAGAAGAAACATGGGAGGTACTTATAATAAACTTGGATTGCTAAGAAGTTGATTTTTAATCCTGTGATAGCTTTAAATTGAATTCTGTATTTGATATTAAAAACTTTTCCAAGTTAACATGTTATTGTTTATTGGCCAGTTTTAAAGTTTGAATTTAACTGTAGTTGAAATAGTAGGAATCTTGTTTTACACTTGTATTAAAGATAAAATAAAATAAGTTATTTAGCACCAATGGAGTATTACATTATTTTGGGCTTTTTTTCTTTTATATTTTTTCTGAGATAGGAGTTCATAACTCCTCTGTCATTCTGAGTGCTACATATTCAATGGTTTTAGTTTAAATGGGACATTGGTATAAACTTTATTAATCCATGTAAGTATGCTATAACCCTCCGTTGAAGGTTCTTTAAGGGTCAGAGCAATACCCAGGCCTGAAAACTTCCCGCCCTGAATCTACTCAGGCTGCCTGTAGAAATCTGACTTGGATTTGTGAGCCAAATTGTTAGACTCCTTACTCAATATGAAGTATGACAGAGGCCTGTAGACCTGCCTTACACTGCCTAGGTAATCATAGGTGGCACTGAGAAGTCTAGACCTAGTGGTTACCTTAAAAAAAGAAAGACAGGAATTTGGCAAGGACATGGGCCCCCTCAGTGATTTCACTCTCTAATAAAATGTGCCCAAATAAATACCCAAGTCTGACTTAGCAGATTAGTAAATCTTCCTTGCTGAGGTAATATCCAGTGAGGGCTGGAGAGAGACCCAGATATGTGAAGTGATTGGATTTCCACTTGTGGGCACAGACAGAAAAGTAGAGCAATGAGAGAAGAGAGGAGAACTTCTATTCCTTTCAGCCCATATACTTTTCATTAAAATGTACTTCAAATCCCAAGTTGATTACAGTTGAGTGGAATGTTGGAATATGTGTTCAAGAATGTTTACACAAAGCTCTTTATAGTTTTTGCTCCGGATATAATTTGCATTTTTGGTAATGTTTGTTCATTTGCTTATTCAACAAATATTAAATACCAGTTATAGATTATGTGTTGTCCTAGGCTCTGAAGATACAGAAAACAAGAAAAGGCCTGTTCCTTGGAATTCATATCCTAGTGGCAAAGAGGCAAGAAACAGATGTGTTCTTATTGTGCTAATAAAGATTGTGAATGAATGTAGGCAATGAGGATAGAAAGTGAGGGGAGTGGGAGTATGTATTTGTTAAAAGCGGTACTTAGGCCTTCCTGTTAAAATTGCTTTTTAGGAAATGTGAAGGTTGTAAAACAAGCAATGTAGACAGCTGGTAAGCACAAGTGTCATACTTGTTCTTTATATACTTGATTTAGATCATATTTTCAAAAATTACTGAAATTATTTTTCTTATAAGGTACAGTTTCACTGTATCATTTTAACATGTAATTCTTTAATAGAATTTATTTTTGATTTGTTCTTTCAGATAAAAATTTTGTACAATGCACAAATTGTAAGTGTACATACATTGAGTTTTGACAGATGCAGAATTATACAGTCTAAATTTCTAGCCAGATATAAACATTATTAGCACTGCAGAAAGTTTCACCCTTCCCTGTTGAACATAACATAAATGAAATCATGCACTATGATCTTTATTTGCATAGTCTCTTAAACGCAACATAATGTTTTTGGAATTTCTCTGTTTTGTTCCAGTTACTGGTAAATCATTCCTTTTTAATAGTTTAATAGTGTTCTATGTGAATATACCATACTGTTTATCCTGTTGATGCACACCAGTCTGTTTCTAACTTAGGGTGTTTTAAATAAACTTATGAACATTTTAAAAATTAATTTTATTGGTACATTTTAGGTATACAATATAATGACATTTATCATTGGGAAGTTGCACCTTTACATACTCTATCTTGGTTCTTATTTTTCCCCATTCCCCTGCCCTCCCTTCACCCCTCCGCCCCTCCCTGTTTACAAAGACTTTGTTTCCATTATTTTCATTTTCTCATATTCCATTCCCTTCTTTCCTTGTCCCTACCCCTCCCACTTTCCCTTCACCTTTGCCCCTTTTCTTACTATTTCACATTATCTGTTATACCTTTTAGTCCTTGTTTACACTTTCAGTTTCTCACACCAGAGAAACTTGGGTATTTACACGTGTCCTATTTATTTCACTTAAGAGTATTGCCTCAATGTGCATCCATTTAGCTATAAATGTCTCTAATTTCTCATTCTTTATGGCTTAGTAGTACCCCATTTTATAGAAAAATCACATTTTTTTAATCCAGTCTCCAGTTGATGGGAAGTTGGGCTGTTTCCAAGTTTTAGCTATTATAAATTGTGCTGCTATGAACACATATATCATATATAGGTCCACATATATCACTGTGGTATGATTCTTTTAATTCTCTGGGGAAGATAGCCAACAGGGGAATAGCTGGGTCAAATGGGACTTCCCGTCCTAGTTCTTTGAGGTATCTCCATACTGATTTCTGCAGTGGTTGCACCAGTCTACACTGCCACCAGCAGTGGAGCAGGGTTCCTCTTTGCCCACAGCCCTGCCAGCATTTGTTATTTGTTGATTTCACGATAGCAGCCATTCTTACTGGGATGAGGTGGAATCTCAGCATTGTTTTCATTTGCATCTCTC